AGATAGATAGATAGATAGATAGATAGATAGATAGATAGATAGATAGATAGATAGATAGATAGATAGATAGATAGATACTCACTCTACTTGTTTGGACCACTCTGGTGGATCACTAAATGTCATGAATATACAGTTGGTCAAAATGGTACACATGATGATCATGCTGAATAATGTGGAAACACAATTGTCAAGGAAAACTTTGAGACACCTTAAATCATTAAATAACAAAATCTGAAGTTATCAACTAAAGGTCGAGTTAAAGGAAATTGCTCATCCCAAAATAAAATATTTCATTAGGAACTCTTCGGAAGAATGTTTCGTCTAAGATACTTTACCTCTTTTTGCTTTGTTTTTGTTTGTTTTTTTATTTAGTGTCTAGCAACTAAACTTATAAAACTTGAAAGGATATGAATGTATCAAAATCTTTATGGCTATTCGCCTTAGTGGATTAAAAGGGCTTATGATGTACAAGGAGGGTGTGGCACTGAAGCGGAAGATTGTTTTCCCCTTGTTTAGGACTATAAATGTCTGTGAAGAGAAGAGAGAAAGAGAAGAGTTAAACGGTGTAGGTATACATCTCATATATGTCCCTGAAACTTTACTGATGCCTTGCTTTAAGACCTGACCAAATTTGAGGGTTTTGAGTAAGAGCAGCCTGTCTAAGGTCACGCTGGAGCATCCTAATTGCATCTCAGGTTTTAACTAGGCCGTTCCAGAAGCTTTTTATTTTTTGAGCCATTCAGAGATATCTCAGAAAAAAAGAAAAAAAAAAAAAGATTGATTTGCTGCTGTTTTTTGGATCAATGATCTGCGTCATCAAGCGACAAACTGAAGGTTGGAAATTGGATTCAAGTTTTTCTGGAAGAGAGCAGAATTCCGGATTACGTCAATTACAGCAAGCTCTCCAGGTGCTGACGCAGCCCCAGACTATCCCGCCATAATCACCATTGATGTAGTGTGTGTAGGATTATCTTTTGCTGTATGCTGTCAGTTTTATATACATAGGTGCAGTTCAACTTCTGTCTCAATAGTCCCCATAACATTTTACACACAGCCTTCGGACCATCAAGATGTTTTGGGAATTGTGAGATGAGTCATTTATTTTTTCTTGACAAAGGAAATTATGACTTGAAAAAAGGCTTTTTATGTTTGCCTGATTTGGACATTTGTTTGACGATCAGTAACATCTCGCTGTTACAAGAACAAACTAAATCTTTAAATGCAGGGGATGCTTTTTTACAAAAGCATCCCCTGCTTCTTCGGTGTTACCGAGGAAGCCTCACTGACATCACTTCCTCTGTGACCAGCTGTCAAAGAAAACCCATCAGTCCCAGCAGGACCTGACAGAACTGTGACAGAAGACGTGAGCTTTCTTTCAAGCCCAGGACAAGCAGACAGCCACATGCAGAGCTCTCTTGCTGCTGTGTGGCTGAATAACTCTCTTCATACTAGGTTTAAAGCTCTTACTGGAAAGTAACAGCAAAACTCTGTCATCGATCAGGGCAGATCTGCTGACTCGGAGCTCGCAGCAACCACTCCCTGCCCATAAACAGCAATGGGCCAAGTGCTGCTGGATGAGGCAGCAGCCTCTGTCTGTTTCTGTGTACTCATGTGTGGGGTCTGTGGATGCCTGTGCCAAAATCCTGGGCAAAAGGCACATGAGCTTGGCATTATGGACATGAGCATAACTTTCAACCGGATCACAGAGGTGCTGCACGTTATTTCCAGGCATCACAGCTTAGAGCAGTTTCATAATTTTTATCAATGTGAAGCATAGCAGGTGCATAATAAGAGGCTCTTCTTTGTTTTTCACAATAAAAGACTGAGCACATCAACGCCAGTTATTTATACTGTAGATGATAAATTATGTATTTGTGATTAGGAGGACAATTATATAAAAATCTGATAATTATAAAATTAAAATCAAGAAAGAAAACTCCAATACCATCTGTTTTATGATGTAAGGCACAGCCTGACACCACCACCACCATGTATTAGAGCAGGGATGGTTTAAAAGATGGGTAATGGTTAGTGTTCGTTTTTCAATATAAATGGCCTTTTGATTGGACACATTTGCATGTCTACTTCATACTGTGCCAGCTTTGCATGTATTTTCTAGTGGTTTTTCTTTCAACAGTCAAAAATAAAATTTCTTCTTAACCTCTATATTTTGAAGTAATCCTTGCCTATTTTGCATGGAAAGGCAAATAACTTAGGAACTGTAAGTCCAAATTACATGTGTGATACATTATTTGAAAGCTAACACTTTCTAGTTTCTGAATATATATTATAGAAAATAACAGGTCTTTTTTGAACAGCAGTAATGAAGACATGATTGAGATGCATGTCTCATTGTATTACATTTGTTCTACATCATGTCAACCACAAATGCAAAACATGTCAGACCTCTAGCTACAAGAGTTCCAGAGCTGTAGGGTTTTGAACTTTTGGTGTCACCAGTGTCTCCAAATCTCCCTACAAATGTGCCAAATGCTTTTAAAATGCTTGGCTTTACTATTTGACCCATAGAATAACACTGAAGCATTTTGATGGCCACAAAACATTTATGAAGCATGTATTTTCCACTTTTTTTTTCCCGAATTAGTGTCTATAACAAAAAGTAACATTTCTAAATGTACAATAACATAAAAAAATATATATAAAAAATAGTGAAACTGTTGCTTTTTAAGTTGAAATAAGCCCCAGTGCCTTTTCTGAGCTGTATTTTTTTCAGCCTTAGGCATTAAAACAAAATCAGCATCCAACCTTCAAAAACATAGGACAGTTATTATTATTCACCTTCGGGCTGCTCACATTAATCCGCTCTCAGCTGTGTCTTTCACTGTTTCTCAAGCCGGAAACATGGCTCTGCTTTATGCAACCCGGCCATGTCTAGTCTTGTTTTAAACCTTAATTCATTGGCTACAAGGCCAAACAGCCCACATGCTCTTAACCAATAACAGCAGGACTTTATGAGGCATAATATCCCTCTACTCGGTGCGTCATTGGCTGACAGGCAAGGAGCACTTGTGAGACTTAAGCGACTGTCCCTGACTCAAATCGACTCATATAAAGATGCAGACACTTTTGTCATGTAGGTAAGAAGACGATGTAAACATCATGGGAAAACAACTGAGGAAATAAGTATTAGGAAGTAAATTGAAGATTGGATTTATAAAGCGGCTTCCGGATGCCTTCAAAAGTATATTGTTGTTGCTGCTTTATCATGTTTACAGTTTGACATGCTGCTATATCTCTGTAAAGTGTGCTTTGGTGCTTGCTGTGTCCATAAAATGGACTTGATGGTTGAAGTGTGGAGAATCTAAGCTTTCCAAAGATGTCTAACATGTCTATATCGGTAAACATTTTACCGTTGTAATTTTCATGCGTTCTGAGTTATTAGTTGTAAACGTTATAAAACGAGTCGCCGGCGATCCGGTGGGTAGTTTTTGGCAATATAGCTAGAACGGCATAACCTGACAACAGCCAGATGCATGTCTCACTCCGCCCAGCTCCACTCACGTATGTGAGTGGAGCTGGGCGGAGCGAGACATGCATCTGGCTGTTGTCAGGTTAAGAACGGCATACTGTCAGAGGCAGATAAAATAACTGCTCAAAAAATTTGCACTGCTTTTGGAAAGAATCTAGGGCTGCAACTAGCGATTATTTCACAAATCGATTAATATGTCGATAATACACTGCCTGGCCAAAAAAAAGTCGCCACCTGGATTCAACTAAGCACATAGGTTCGAGTCTCCTATTGGATAATGACTGCATGGGCAATTATCTTTCAGCTGGCAACAAGTTATTTAACCCCAACTGGTGCAATGACTTGCTTCTCATTTCCTAAACAACCATGTCGAAAGACACATCTTGCGGTCGTTGAAAAGATGTTAGTCTGTTTGTGAAGGGTCAAATCATTGGCATGCATCAAGCAGAGAAAACATCTAAAGAGATTTTAGAAACTGCTAAAATTGGGTTAAGAACTGTCCAACGCATTATTAAAAACTGGAAGGATAGTGGGGACCCATCATCTTAAAGGAAGAAATGGGTCCGGAAAAAAATCCTGAATGATCGTGATCGGCAATCACTTAAATGTGTGGTGAGATCAAATTGAAGAAAAACAACAGTAGAACTCAGGGCTATGTTTAATACTGAAAGTAAGAGCATTTCTACACGCACAATGTGAAGGGAACTCAAGGGATTGGGACTGAACAGCTGTGTAGCCGTAAGAAAACCACTAATCAGTGAGGCTAACCGGGAAAAAAAGGCTTCAATTTGCTAGGGAGCATAAAGATTGGACTGTGGAGCAATGGAAGAAGGTCATGTGGTCTGATGAGTCTAGATTTACCCTGTTCCAGAGTGATGGGTGAGTCAGGGTAAGAAGAGAGGCAGGTGAAGTGATGCACCCACCATGCCTAGTGCCTACTGTACAAGCCTGTGGGGGCGGTGTTATGATCTGGGGTTGCTGCAGTTGGTCAGGTCTAGGTTCAGCAACAGTATGTGCTCAAAGAATGAGATCAACTGACTACCTGAATATACTGAATGACCAGGTTATTCCATCAATGGACTTTTTATTCCCTGATGGCACAGGCATATTCCAAGATGACAATGCCAGGATTCATCGGGCTCAGATTGTGAAAGACTGGTTCAGGGAGCATGACACATCATTTTCACACATGGATTGGCCACCACAGAGTCCAGACCTCAACCCCATTGAGAATCTTTGGGATGTGTTAGAGAGGGCTTTGCGCAGCGGTCAGACTCTACCATCATCAATGCAAGATCTTGGTGAAAAATTAATGCAACACTGGATGGAAATAAATCTTTTGACATTGCATAACCTTATCGAAACAATGCCACAACGAATGCGTGCCGTAATCAAAGCTAAAGGCGTTCCAACAAAGTATTAGAGTGAGTGACCTTTTTTTTGGTGGCAACGTTTTTTTTGGCCGGGCAGTGTATATCATCTTTTGGATTAATCGATTAATAATCGGATAGCTATAGGTTTTTTTTATTAAATTGAAACAGGTATCTAAAACTTTTCCACTTGAGGAGCTCTGGATAGAGCATTCAAACAGATTATTATTTTTTTTTTTTATGTTAAATTAAAAAATATATATATATCTTTTTTACAATTTGGATATAATTACTGTTTTAATTGGGTTGCTATATCAGCTAAAAGCATATTTTACAGTCTCTATACTTAACCAGACAGTTAATGGTTAATCGATTACTAAATTAGTTCACGATTATTTCAATAATTGATTAATCACCATTAATCCAATTAATTGTTTCAGCCCTGGAAGAATCCATTTCAATTTATCAGTACATTAGAAGGTAAAACTAACGATACACAGATCATAGTGAGTATAGATCTATTTATCCACATGTTTTAAGTTAATAAATGTTTTTGGAACCAACAGTAGTTAGAGAAAAAAAAAATTGAAATCAGAAGTTAAAACGTCCACCATGGTGTACGTTTTAGGGATTGAACAATGTTATGATCTAAGCTTTATTCTTCTTTA